TTTTTTTTTTTTAGATATAACAAATATTATTATTGTATGACGACAAAATTTTAGGATTTCTTGGATTCTTTTTTTTCATTTAACACAGTGATATTCAAAGTTTAATAAAACATAATTATGTAGAAAATTTTGAAGAGTCATTGTGAAGGGAAAAACCTCAGTGTTCAAGATCATCTGTGAGAAGATTTTTCAATGTTTTTACGAATGTCCAGATATTAATATACAAACATATGTGCATATTATCTATAACACAATTTCTTAAAGTTCTTAGAATCTTAGAGTAGTTAATCTTCGGATTAAACGGTCATTCATTTCGCCCAGTTCTAACCTGAATCTAACGTTTCTGTTTCAGAGCCGCACTGGGCCGCGTGTGCATGAAACTCGTGGTGGTGATGGGCGTCACTTGGGTGGCTGACGTGGTCTCGTGGGCAGTCGGTGGTCCTCAATACATCTGGTACTTCACCGACATGATAAACGCGTTCCAGGGCGTGCTGATCTTCGCGGTGGTTGGCTGCCAGCCGCAGGTCCGCGCCGCTTTGAAGAGGATTTGCAACAGGAACCCGAGAACCAACGCTGGAAGACAGGGAAACGGGCTGAGCACCACCAGCCACGGGATGCCCAGCATGGGCGACAGCGTCATTCAGAATCCGAGCACGAAGACCGCTCCGCTGGAAACCATCTGCTAAGCGACTTCTCCGACCTGCCGGCCCCGACAATCGAGATCCTCTGACGGCACGCCTCGCTCCGTCTCGCTGCTGTCGGCCAGTTTCACTGGCAAACGATGACGGGGGAAACGAGACGGAGGATTCCGTTCGACGAAGAGAAGTCGGAAGCGCGTGTTCGAAGGAGGGTGATCTCGAGTCTCGCGAAACACGTGAAACAGAACGAAAATTCGCGGAGGTCCACGAAGCGGAAGAACGCGAAGTATACGAAGCGACCAGCGTGCGAAACGTCGCATTGATAGATCGAAAAGATCTATCGCCAACAAGAATAAGAAGTTTCTCTCGTCCGTTCGTATTTCGCGCGATTCCTGACTCTTGAGTAATATCGTTGGACCGTAGTAATTTCACGTCAAATAACTAAAATCCGGAGTGTTGATTTTATCTTGCATTTCGTGTTCGCTTTCTGCCGAAGAGATTATTGTGATAAAATTCAGTTGAACAAAAAAAATTCTAAATCGTTGTGATAGTCCAAGTCCAATGATACTAGTCAAGAATTAATATACGATCGTCTTCAAAGGAGACTGAGAAAAGCTATCTTACATATAACACACACTATTTGTGTTCGAATCGCGTTGGAGGGTCGACGACCTCGAGGCCGTGAACTTGAAACGTAACCGGACTTCCCCGTTCCGAATGACATCGCAAACGCTGTCCGCGAGTGGGTAGGCGCCGACTCGCGTCGAAAATCCTCTCCTGCTAATAAGCGGGGTCGTCGACCTTGGAAGAAGAAGTACAGTCGCTAAGAACGCATCCGCTCGCCGCAGACTCGGCTGCCACGTGGTCCCCGCGGGCTGAATGCGGTGGAAAGCAGCAGAACGCGCGAGCCTGTCACTTTGAATAGTTCATTGTCTCGACAGAGAGTACAATGGAGAGCAGAGAAAACAACGCGAAGCGACAAATATTCATAGAGAAGACCCGTCCTGGTTCGAGTCCCCTCTCGAGGGAGAGCCGTGTTCCCCGCGACTCATCGGTGGTCCAGCTTTCACCTTGCCTCGTCGGATCTCCAGTTATCGTTGCAATTTGTAGCTCGTTCCACT